TCGAACCTACCTGCTCCCCTCAATCTCTCAATCGCCTGAGTGACGGTCCAGCCCATACGCCTCGCATGCTCCCAGAAACTGTCCAGGAATAGCTCAATGTCCCCATCATTGTAGACTGGAGTACTCTCTCGTTGGCGAGGCCCATGCCGCTCATATCCTCCTGATGCGCCCAACGGCCTCTGAGGCGGCCGTGTCCCCTTCCCTCCTCTTGGCATGGCTGTCTTCGTAAAGTCAGACCTGCACAACAAGCGAAGGAGACAACAGGCACACGTTGGGGTAAGCAAGCAGGTGATAATCAGAGCAAGCTCAGATCAGACCACACTTATGCAGCATGCATCCTTCCTAACCTACACACCCTGTTACTTCTATTCTAGGGGCGGTCAGGTCATCTCTCTTACGTCTTCTCTCGCCACGAATTTCTTCAGTTGCGTTCCAGATACCCAATCCTTCCACTCAGTCTCATTTAACTCCTCGATCTGGTACGCTCCGAAGTCTCTGACCTGTGCAATTCGGTAGGGACCTAACCATCTCTTATCGAGCTTCCCGGACCACTGTTTTTCCAGCGACGTATCGTAGAGAAGCACGACATCCCCRACTGCCAAGGGTACTTTCCTCACTCGCGCACACTGATCCCATCGGGCCTTATCATCCATACGGCTTCTCGCCACCTGATCAGATGTCTCCTGGATCCTTTCTTCTATCGCCCCRACCTGCCGCGCCCGAATATCGAGCAACTCTTCAAATGACAGGTTGACTTCCAGATCCCGGCGCCTCCACGTCTTAAGAAAGCTTTCGATAGGGAAGGTGGCATGCCTTCTGTACCACAGCGTCGCAGGTGCGCACTTGGTGGATCTCTTTACTGTAATGTTCTCGACAAAGAAAGCCGCCCTTAGGTATCTTGGCCATTGATTAGGCCTACCTTCGGTCCATTTGGCCAGGAGGTTCGTAATGGTACTATGTCCTCTCTCTACGGGAGCATTTGCCTGGGGGTGCGCGGCCGTGGTGTAGTTGGCTGCCACACCATATCTTGCTAACAGTTCTTGCACCTCCTGGCACGTAAACTCTGATCCCCTGTCCATTACGAATTCCCTGATGAAAGGATAACGCAGGTAGTACTCCTCGATGCAGCTCACCAGGACTGACCCGGTCTTTGTGCGAATAGCTCGCCCATCTACGAACCCCGACAGGTTATCGCGCGCATCGAAGATATAGTTATAGCCCTGATCCCGAAGTGGCATAAAAAGCAGATCGAGATGCACTACGGCCCCTACCTCTCGCTCTAACCTTGGATGCACCGGCTCTCCCTGCCTTAAACGGGATCTCTCCTGGCAGGGTACGCAAGATCGACAAAATTTTTCGACTATGTCCATCATTCCATCCCAATAGTACAACTCACTTATCTTGGCATACGTGGCTTGTACCCCTCGATGCCCTCTTGCAGCGCCATCGTGTAGTGCTGCTACGACGTCGATCTGACGATTCCTACCCCAGACGACCCTCCTGGGATTCCTCACTTCCCTTCTCACGAAAAGGTGACCGTCTCGCACTAAGTAGCGTTGCAGCATCCTTTGAGCCCTATCGCTCGCATCTTTTAGCCGCATTTCACATGACAGAAGAAGCCCCAGCTCTAGGTAGATCCCGTCGTACTCCTCTGCACGAAAACCCTCCTTAATTTCCCCTTCTTCGAACTCGTCGTTCTGGCTCTCGGGTATTTCGTCCACATTCCCTGCCGGGTTCAACGAGCCTGACTGGTCTAGGTTTTCCTGCAATAACGTATTGACGAGGAGATACATTCCTCCCATCAGGTCCTCATGCCATTGTACCTAGCCAGGTCCTTCCTCACTCGTCCTTATATCCTCCACCAGGCTATGCGAGCTGGCCAGCACTAATTCCATCATCCACTGAACATCCTTACCGCCCCAGGGATCCTTTTTTTTAAAGGGCTTAAGGACTAATTCATTCCTCCTTTCATACGCGCTTGCCAGATAGGATAGCCTATACAGCTAGGCACTTGCGACGACCATTTGTTGATATGAAGACGAACATCTTCTTCCTAATCTAGAAATCCATCAACTGGGGGCGTATTCTCCACCACCTCCCCTTCCTGCTTATTCCAGTTGATCCGACTCAGCCCGTCCGCCCGGTTCTTACTACCAGGAATCCATTCCAATTCGAAATTGAACATCCAGATGTACGTCAGCTATCTGGCAATCGTCGGATCCGATGGAACGTAATTCCTTAGAGAGTAGGCCAGGACGGTCGGATCCACTCTCAAAATAAACCTCCTGCCAAAGATATAATTCCAGAAGATTCGCAGACAATGGAGGACAGCAAGGGTCTCCCTCTTGAACTGAGAGTAGTTCCTCTCCGTCGTACAGAGAGTCCGGCTCTCAAATCGCAAGGGTCTTTCCTTCCCTTCCATGTCTGCCTGAATTAGAACTCCCCCTAAGGCAGTCGGTCCCGCATCCATCTCGACAATGAAGGGTCGCGTCTCTGTGGCGTCATAATCTGGCGCTCCTGACACCAATCCTCCTTCTCGAAATTCCTCCTTCAGTGTTGCTACCACCTCTTCTTGTTCCTCACCCCATACCCATTCCTGATCCTGACGGACGAACTTCCTCAGGTGTTCAGTCTTAGCGGCAAAGTTTTTGACGAAGGCCCTCCAAAATCCACACGTACCAAGGAAGCTCCTGACATCAGTTACTGAGTGGAACGGAACTGGCCACTCAGTAATCTTGTCCGTCTTCTTCACATCCGGCCTTCGGCCCTTCTCATTGCAGACTATCCCCAAGATAGTCGCTTCCCTCATGCAGTGTCTGGATTTGGCCCCGCTTGCCGTGAGGTTATGCTCTTCGAGCACTTCGAGCAGGCTCAGGACCTTTTCGAGGTCCTGAATGTACTTCCAGACAAAGCGCCTTACCCCTGGTGAGACTTCGTCGCTCTGTTTCGTCGCCGACCCCTTCACTGCCAAATCGTTAATGTATGGCTGTGTGATATGGGGGCTGACTGACTGCATGGCCCGAATCATGGCTCGTTGGACTATTGCTACTGCGTTGGTCCACCCTTGTGGGGCCACGTTCATGTGGACTAATCCTCGCGGTGTGTGCATAGCTGTCACCGGCCTATCCGGCGGGTAGACTGAGAACTGATCGTATCCTGAGTAAAGGTCTATAAGCAAAATTATAGGCCTTCCATCACAGGATTCTGACAGCGCATTTGCATTCGGCAGTCCTCCAGCATATCGCACGGTTACTGCATTCAATCTCTGCAAATCCTGCACCCACCGCAGCGTTCCGTTAGGCTTAATAAAGCAGAACCACGGGGACGCATACGGTCCACTTTAATAGTCGGCGACGTGAGTACGTATCTTGCCGTCGAGATAATCCACCACCTTCCTCTCCTCGTCAGGATTGGGATACCGCGCCCCTCTCATGTTCCAAGGGTCGTGTGACACGGTGTGGATGCGGATCATAGGTATCTTATCTACATCCAGCCTGCCACGCTCCTCGTCACTAAATGCGTAGGCGCGATGCTTCCTCTTCATTAATTTCACCATCAGCGTTCGCTCCTGAGGCAGCAGGAAATCAGACTCCCCTATGATCAACTCCTTCTCGTTCCCTTCGTTGATACGACATGGCCCTGCTAAAACACTTTCCCTCATTTGTCGAATCAACCCTCGTTCCCTCTCGTAATATGCTTCCTCGTCCTCTGTGACGAGGATGGGTACCGGGCGGCTTTTCTTATCTAGCGTCTTGTACCGCCTTTGGGAACCCTGCTTGAGCCGTCCCCTAAAAAAGGTCGACTCACGGATTGTGTTTGCACTGACGTGGGGTTCCCTTCACTGCCTGGGAGCCGATATACCAATTTCAACCTTCCTACCTCAGGGCATTCCAGAACTTGTTCCCTCAAGGCCTGGATGGCATCCGGATCTGTCATCTCATGCGCGGCCACCAGGTCCATGGCTTTCCCAACATCTGACAGGCTGAGGGAAAATGCTTTCACCCCCTCTCCTGCTTCGGGCTCTGCCCAGAGCCTCCTGTGCTCCCCTTCCGACTCCTCGATTGTGAATGATCCTGGATTGGGCCGGTTCCTTATACTCCTTGGCCCGGTGTTCTTGCAAGTAATTATTTCATAATTTCCGCAGGCAGGATCGCATAAGAGGAGGATCAACGTCCCATCATGTTTGTTGAACATCACGGTCTCTGTCCTGCTTAGGAATGACCTCCCCAGGAGGATTCCATGGTCCACGTATGACATTATGAAGAAGCATGCCCTGGCCTTCACCTTTCCAACCTCGACGAGCACATTCGAGGCTGTCCCGCAAAACATGGCCTTACAGCTGGCTCCATGCAGAATACCGCAGTCAGAACGGTCTATATCCAACCCGAATCTGATCGCGTTCGCCTCCCGAATAATGTTCATCTATGCCCCAGTGTCCACCATTGCTGCGCACTTGGAACCCTTCACCATCAAATCCACCGTACCGCCGACTACGCACTTCCAGTCCATTTTCGTACCTGACTCTGCCCACTCTGCCTCCTTGAGCAAGATCGTACCCAGATGGACATTGGACACCAGGCGCCGTGATAATCTCCCCTTCAGTTCATCGCGGAGTCGCGGGGCTGACGCTAGGATTTCCTTCAGGGTCATGAGGTCATTATGCCCTTCCAGCAGCCGGTCAATCACCTTCTCTACGTCAAATCCTTCTTCCAACCGGACCGCGTATTTCTTCTTTTTGGGTGGTCCATGCTGTATGACCAGTTCGGCCTCTCCCCTGATCCCCTTTTTCCTTGCCCGCTGCTCCGCTCTCTGATCCTCTTCTCTGCGCAGCCTCTCGTCCTCTTCCTCTTCTTCATCGTCGTCCTCTACTTCCACAGCCTCCTTCCTTCTCCCTGGTTCGTGTTCCCCCCTTGGAGGCTCTTGGCTGGTACTGGCCTTGGCTTGATTCCTCGTTCGCGCTGCCTGTGCCAGCCGGGCTTGCGGAGTGAGGGGTCTCCCCCTTATCCCTGGTTGAGGGCACGACCCCACCATATTTACTCCGGGTCGCCCAGGCGCTGACTCCGGGCCAGAGTCATAGAGGAATACTGTGGGGATGTTAGACCTCCATCCTTTCACTTCTTTACAGAGGCCCACCAACTTTTGTTGGTACCTCCCCATCTTATCCAGCAAGTCCTTCATCTTCTCAAATAAGACGGACGGAGGCTCCGTTCTTTCCTCCTCCTCCTCGTCATCTGACTCGATGATTATGGCCTCTTCCGTCTCACTTCCTCCTCGTAGCCCTTGAGTCACTTCCTCATCACTTCCCACTTCTTCCACCCCAAACGGTGGTTCCTCCTTTTCCTGCCATAGCCTGAACATGGCAGGGGGCGGTGGTCCCGCTGCCGCTCTTCGTTGGGCTTCAGCCCTCACTCCTCCAAGCCTTCTGTTAATGGCCTCCCCAAATTTATCGTAGATATCCCCATCCATAGTAGAGGAAATCAGCCCGCTTCTCTCGTCTTTCCGTCTTATATTACAGAACCTTATAGTGTGGCCTTGCTGGTCACAATGTTGACAGATGGCCGTCCTCCAGTCAAAGCGGGGTCTTCCATACCCCTGACTTCCCTGATCCCCCTGGCCTTGATACCCCTGGCCTTGCTAGCCCTGGCCTTGGTACCCCTGGCCCTGACTCCCTTGGCCTTGGTACCCCTGGCCTTGACTACCTTGGCCTTGGTACCCCTGGCCTTGACTCCCTTGGCCTTGGTGCCCCTGGCCTTGGCCATTCCATTGCCTTCCTCTTCCGCCGCCATTCCTGCCTCGCCCCTTTCCTCCACCCCTCCCTCCATTGCCTTGATTGTCCTGCCCCTGGTTCCCACCCCCTACAACACTGCCCTGTGAACTGAGATCAGGTGACGGTGGCGGGGCCACAGGTTGGGCCTGGGCCGCGGGGTAGATGGGTGGTGGCATACTCGTTTGCGGTCCGGCTACTGGCGGCGTACTTCCCCATGGCATAATTGCGTTGATCACCGGCCAGGGCCACTGTCCATAGGAGGGCGCCTCGCCTTGCGAGGGGCCTGTACTAGATGATAGAGCCGCCACATTTAAAGGGGCTGCTGCCTAGGTTTGAGGCGCCTGCGCTTTTCCTGATCCCTGTCCGCCCTGCGCCAAATTACGCACTTTGCGCTGGACCTTCGTCAGGTGTTGCAGCACCGGCTCTTCCTCTTCCCATAGCTCCTCCTGGCCAGCCTCCTCTATCACTGGCTCTTTTCCTTTTACTTTGACAGCCGTCACCACCCTTCTTTGCACCACTGGCTCTGTCGCATACCCTAGCTGTGCCAATACGTCTGTAACAATCCTTGTTACTCCCGGGGTCCCAGAAGCGGTCACGTCTCTTTCCTTTCTCTTCTGTCTTTGCAGGCGTACCTGACGTTGTTCTACCTGGTCCAAGCACCCAACCTCCACCCCTCTATCAATGGTGGCCCAGGTGAGCTTAGTGCTACCTCCTCCATGTCTCGTCAATTCGACGGCCTCCGATGCTGTGAATAGCCCCAGGAAGATAACGCACTGTGCTTCCTCCGAAATCCCATGGACCTTCCGCGCCCTCTTCTTAAATTCTTGAACAAAGGCCCCTATAGTCGTAAAATCCTCTTTGTTCATCGCTTCAAGGTCCGTGGTAGTCAACAACCCGTCTCCCATGCGGTATTTCCTCTGCATCCCCTCCTTGAACCTCTCCCAGCTACCTTGAGCTGCATCTATGACTTTCTTCACCTCCTGATGGTAGCTGTGGAGGACATACTGAAGGATGCGTTGAAACTTTACAACATCCGGCTGCCCGACCAAAGCTTGTTCCACCCGCTCTAGCCATTCTTAGACTCTCTCCCCACAGAAATGGAAAATATCGACCTTTTGGATGTTGTTCGGGTTCCTTTCATGTCGGTCGATGGCCGCGATGAGGTCATCGAGTGTCAGGCCCTTCTAGGGAACAACTGATGCGCCGCCAGTCTCACGCATCTTGACAGCCTTTTCTTTTTAAGTTCCCTGGCAAAAGAAAACAAGTACCTCCCCTTATTCAACATTATACCTTGATCGGTCTATTCCATTCGTCCTACCTAACCCTTAGTACTTACTTTACCCACTGTTAACACGATCGTCCCTCATACTTCCTCTACTTGGGTAGGTAAATTTCCTCACCTACACTTAGTCATTCATATATTCCTTCATTACCTTCTCATCACTCCTTTATGCCTTTTCTTATTAACTTCTCATACCCGGATGTCGTTCCACCAGGGACAACAGTAGGCTTTCCGTTATCCCTGGCAACGGCGCCACCTGTCGGGCGCATCGGTCCGGCACCGCACGGGGGCAGTGCGGGACCCTCCCGGCCGTGTCACGCAGGAGTTAGTTTTCATAACCCTTCGTCGCAATATACATGGAGCTTCCGCAAGCCGTTCCGGCCGGGTGCGCCAGCCATACCTCTCGCGAGCCCCTACGACAGGATAGGGCCTACGCGAGGCACGACTTACCTACATCTTACGTGAGTTGTCACCTCCCTTCGGTGGGCGTATCCCCGCCGAGCTACCAGTCCACAGTACGAAAGCTAATCAGTTGCAATCGCAGAGGTGGACCAGCCGAGGGCGTTTCTCGTTCGCTGTAGCATAGGGGGTACGCGCGGTAATACGCCTCTATCGGACCCGCACGTGAACCGACATCTTGGGGGGGTTGAGGTCCCAAGCGCAACTCATCGTCGGTCGACTAGGACGCATCCCACACACCACGCGCACTCCACTTTACGAACACTCATACACACAAAACAACATATATGTGAAACGACACAATACCAACAACGCGACAACGCTCCTAGCCCCTCGGTAGCCAACCCATAACTTTCCAATGCGGAAATCGGATAAGCGTCGCGCGCTGAACTTAGTATAAAACCGCGCGGACGCTGGGCATATTCATATCGACTTGCAATGCAGGCGTACACAATCAGTCGCAACTATGGCGTACTATGTAGTGCCCACAATCAAGCGGTCCCTCGTGGATTCGAGTACCGCTTATGACACTCAAGTGTCAGACTTGAAGTGTCGTGAGGGCCTAGCCCTTCACGACATTGCACGGCTGAAGGAATAGTCGTGCAGCCGCCGAGGCACCTTAGGCTCTCGACCTGAGTGTCACGGTAGGCAAATCAAATAGGCTCTTCGCGAGGGAAAACCCCTCCCCTGCAGAGCCTAAGGCTTAGGATGTCCTGTACAAGGACCTCGAATCCCGGCCCAGGACCAAACGTCCGACTAAGAAAATCATAAAAAAGCAAGAGACAAGAATAAAAGGAGAGACCTCCTCTAAGCCCCTCAGTCTCAGCTTCTGAATGAGACTCTAATGAGGGGGCTCTTCAACCCATGCAAACATTCATCCCAAGTATACCCATGTATGCATATATAAGAGTTAAATATGTGACGATCATTTTTCATGGTCTCACTGGGGTCTCTCACGATAATGCGTATATGTATGATCGCAGGCAACCAAATCCAGAATCTGATTCACAACACATATCTGCCATCACATCAACAAACTAAATCAACAGCCCACACACTACACGGAGTCAACCCCAACCACCTTCGACATTCATACCCCTTGCTTTAGCCATGCAAGCCCCAAAACCTCCTGTCCAACCAACCTTAATTAAACACTCAACACCTTTGTCAAATGACCATTCAATAAAGGTCCGGGTGAAACCTTAATAAAACAACGAAATCACCAGGGCTAAAGCCTTTTAGGTTGAGTGTAGAGGGAGAGTTGAAATTGAGTCGTAGACCGACGAATCGGCAACCGACCTGTTATCAGCGATAACAGAAAGTCATCCTCAAAAGGATCAAGCTGGATCTAGCCCTGAACTTGAAAAAAAAAAACCTGTAACACACGGCAGACCAATCCCCAAGTTAAGATCATAAGTGTATGGAGAATACAACTCCATAATACATCCTCACTCACAATCTCCCTATAAGTTGAACTTAAGTCTATTTTTAAACCAAATGCTTAAGCTAAAGGTAGATCAACTACAAAATCTCCCCTATTCTGGGTGGATTGCCTGACTCGCCACCTGTCAAAATATAATCTATCTCCTCTAAACTAAGAAAATTTTGGCAGCGCTTCCCGTAGGAAAAGTGTCTTTTCATAATTTATATAAGCCCAGATATGGGAGCAGAAATAATCCCTAATTCCTGGAAAGTCAAATTTTGTCCAACTCTCTGAATTAGTAGAAATTTGGCCAGCACTCCCTCTAGAAAGGGAGACTTCCCAGATTTATACAAAGTCAGATATGAAAGAAGAATTAATCTCTAACTCTGAAAAATCAAATTCATTCTAACTCT